CTCTGGGTCTAAAGTCCCCAGCTGCTCCATCTCTCCACATCATCATCTCTGCCTCCATCTCAGGCATCACTGCTTCTCTGGGTAGGGTCCCGCTCTCCACTCTTCTCCCTTGATGGTCCCAGGGACCTCTGCTCCTAGACTGCAAAGTTAATCACTACCCTCCTTGCTACAAAATGTCTACCTTTACATTTACATTTCCAACCCTCACAATCACTCCTGATACCAATTACTCACTATTGTATTATAAGAGATCTATACGCATTTCCTTTCATCAGCTCTGTCTAGACAGATTGGATACTACTCACTGGAGATTCTGCCTTCCTCCACGACTTCTGGATCTAGGGTCCCTCGTGAAAGCTTGTAAGCCAGTCACTTCTTGCCTTTGGCCCCCCATTTGGGTAGCCAATGTTCAAGTGGCCCATCCTTGTCTACTCTGTCTATGGAGGGGGTGGGAATGATCCTTGTTGTAAAGATTTGTTCCCTCTTTTGAGCTACTGCATCCATATGTGTAGGTGAAGTTCATCCAATTGTATCAGATTACACTTTTTTTCCTCTTCTTTCTTGTTCTAGTGGAGCTCTGACCATCCAGTCATTGAAGCCAGGTCAAGTGGGTATTATCTGCAAGTGTGAGTGTTCTTGTGAATATGCCCTCTCTTCTTATCAGCTGCATGCTTCACTCTCCACTCCAGTCCTCTGTGGCTATGTGACTGACTCGGCCCAAGAGTCGCCTGGTCTTGCCACACTGCTGGCCAACCAGGTCTCCACTGGGTTCACAGGAGTCTATTGAATGTTGTAGGGCTAAGCTTGCAGCTTCATTGCTGTTTCCCCTTCACTTCCCCTTATCAGTGACAAACGTGGTCATCAATCAGAGCATGTATTTCCATTGAGTCTTAGTCTTGGAAGGGGGTTTGCTTTGAGGGCATCCGACCACTTGCCTTGATGTCTTCTGAGTGAGCAACTTGATTGTTCTTGTAGTATCAGGCCGTCTGCCTATATTGTTTTGTATTTTTCCAGTTGGTCTTTCTTTCAAGTATCTTCTGTTCTTCCAGCCACTCCAGGCTGGTCTGCCCATCCTTTCAAGTGGAAATTCCCCACCTCTGAAGATTCTGGATGCTATTCAGGATGCCACCTATTGTCTTATATATTGCGAGGCTCCACAGGAAGCCTCGTTCACTGGGCACATTGTAGCCCCATTTTAGGTATTACAAACAGTTATAGGAAGAAGATGGACTTACAAGCTTTCTATGGTGATATTTCTGGCTATTCCTTTCTCTCCCCCTCCAGTGTCTATTTTATAATGGCATGCAAGGGAAACCAAGATTCAAAAGATAGCCAAGCATCTTAACATTATTTCTCCCCTTTTGCCCATTCCAACCATGTCTCAATCCCTGTATCCCAGAGCTCTGTTGTTCCAAGGTTGTGCATACATCATTATTTACCTCTGTTCCACTTAGCACATGCAAACCTGCCTAATTGTTCTCCCATCTGCTTTGTTCTTCCATTCCTCTCTCCCTTCTTATATATTGCCCCCTTGCCCACCAACCAAACTATCCTGTGTCTATTCCCTACCCTGTGCTCCACCTTCCCCTCCCTCCCCTCACCCCGCCTCCCACATCCCTGCAACCAGTAAAGAATCCCACCTCCCTCCCACTTTATTATGGGTTCTTTTCCTTAGTCTTTTACAGTAGTGCTCCTATGAAGTATTTCTCCTTTTGTGACTGACTAATTTCACTTGTTAAGAGACCTAGAGTGGCAGAATGTATTTGACTTTATTTCCTTGGTCTTCCTATTGTTGATTTCTAATTTGATAGGATTGTGATCTGAGAAGATGCTTTGTAGTATTTTGATATTTGTAAATTTATGTAGATTTGTTTTGTGGCCTAAGACATGGTCTATTCTGGAGAATGTTCCATGTGTACTGGAAAAGAATGTTGCAGTTGTTGGGTTGAATGCTCTGTACACATCTATGAGGTCCAGTTGGCTGATTGTGTTGTTTAGTTCTT